ACTCCCCCTCGTCTTGGCCTCGGTCTTGCCGTCTTGGCAGTGCAGCGCGCAGCGCCGCCCGCGGCTTTGCAACAGCAGTGCGCCGCGCCGCGCCCCGCCACGCCACGCCCTCGCTCCATGGACCAGCGCGCACCGCGCTGCAGAGTGATTCCGGGCAGTCGCCCTGTCTCTCTCGCACCCGTGCCGAACGCCCCGCGTGTGCGAGAGAGACAGGGCGAGAGTAATAGCCTCGCCGAATTTCCTGTGGAAATAACACACTCCAGACGGCGAGCAGCTCGGCGGGGAGGGTGCGCTGCGGCCGGCCGATTTGTGGCGGCGACGTAGAACAGCCCCCGAGCGCCCATCAGCGGCCCGGCCACCGCCCCGCCCCGCCCCGTCCCGCCCCGCCACGCGCGCCATCCCTCGCGGGGATCTTGTCCCTATTTCCGCGCACCCCTGACGCCGCCGCGCCGCCACGCCGCCCACCGCCACGACCCCCGGGGAGCGATTTATTCCGACGAGCCGCGGGATTGCTCACACTTGCGGCATGCCCTCCTCCTTGGCGGCGGGGAGGCGCGTGCAGCGTGCAGCGCCCTGCCGCCGCGGAGCGTCGCAAACAGACAACGAAACCAAGTCGGGGCGGAACAAAACGAGGATCGAAGCGGAGTGGAGTGGAGCCCAGCCCGGCCCAGCCGCACACGTCGGCATTAGGATTTGGCAGCCGTCGCCACCGATCCACACGATCCACACCTTGCGTCCCCGGCAGGTGTTGCCGAGTCGGCCGCGCCATGTCGCGCCGCTTTCGGGAAGGACCTGGACGGGCACCGCGCGGCAATGCGCGGCCCCTCGGCGATGTCCTTTTCGTTTCCCTCGGGCATTTGCCTTGATCTTCGAGTGGCGAGTGCAGGCACACTGCAGGCCGCGTGCCGCGTGCGCCGCGAGACAAAGAGGTGCGGCAGCAGTCTGCCTGGCACGCGCGCACCTGGCTTGGCTGGCCGACTGCCCTGCGGCCCGGGGGCCTGGGGCAGGTAGAGGAGGCCCTCTCCTCTCCGCCCTGCTGCAGCAGCCCTTTGGACTTGGACGCCGACGGCGAGGCTGGACAAAGGGAGCGTCAGGCTGCTGGCGAGCGCCGCCCCAGCGCCGCGCCGTCATGGCATCGGGTCCACTCCGGCGACGCTCTGTCCCTCTCGCACCCGTGGGGCGTTCCGCAGGGGTGCGAGGGAGACGGAGCGACGGAGCACTGCCGGGCCTGCAGCACGCTCCAGCCCCCGCGGCGGCGGAGCCAAGCGGAGCCGTCTGCCGGTGGCGATAGTGGCGGACTCGGATTCACAGAGTCCGTCCAAAAAGAGCATCGTGTTCGGCCCTTCGGCGAGGGGCAGGTGCGCGCACTGGCCGACACACGCTAAGGGAGTGTCTTATGGAGTGTCCGGCGCGCAGCTGGGCCCCGCAGGCCGCCCCGCAGGCCGCCCCGCAGGCCCGGCCGGAGGGCCGCAGTGTGAGGGACGTTAACCGACCGAACCTCGACGTCGTGGCCGGACGGCCGGACGGCCGGGCGGTCATTCGATGGCCGTGTTGATGGTGGCGACCGCAAACGGCGGCTGCGCGGCTGGACGTCGAGCAGTGTGTGCGGCAGGTGAAGGGGCGGCAGGCGGGCAGCACGTGCGTCGCCGGCCCGGTGTGCGCCGGACCGTGCGCATGTGTGAGTGCGTATGCATGTGGCGTGTGTGTGTGTGTGTGCGTGCGCACGCGCTCGAGTAAAGCGGCCGCAAAAGGGGTGCGACTCGACTCGACTCGACCCGGCCCGCCTCGGCGAGGAATGACTTTATTCCTCGCTGGCAGCCAGCCGAGAGTCGTTTCCGTCGCCCTGTCGCTCTCGCACTCACGGGGCATCCCGTACAGGTGTGAGAGAGACAGTGCGACGAAAACGACTCTCGGAGTCAGTCTACTGCAGCCAGCCCGTGCGGCCCGCTGTGGCACACGAGCGTGGTCCTGGCGCTCACCTCTTTGCGAAATCGACCCGCATTTTCGCTCTCTAGTGCATAAAGTGAGCGCGCGTGCGTGGGCGAGGGGAGGCGAGGGGTAGGGGTTATAAGCGCGCCGCGCACTGTAGCGCGGTGCAGAGGGTGCCGCCACGCTGCTATACGCTGCTTGCACAGTGTAGCGGACCGTGAGTGCGGGCACACCTGAGGGAGGGAAAAGGGGGGGGGGGCAGGGGGTACAACGCAGCCAGCCTAGAGCCCTCCATCCCCGCGCGGCAGATGTTCCCGCTCGGCGTTCGTCTTTGACGCCTCCAGAAAAGGGTTGTGTCGGAACGGAAAGGGGAGCCGAGCCGTCGAACGGAATGATAATAATTCCCAAAAGCCAAAAGGATCGTTGTGCCTGTTTGATAGGGATGGGAGAGGGAGGAGAAAAGACAGTACAGTATCATTTTTTGTGAGCGTTTTTTTTTTGTCATGCGACGCATGTACTTACAAAGAAAAAGTGAGAAAAATGAAAAACCGTGAAACTTGCATCCGCGTTGTGTCTGACGCCGTTCAAAAGAAGCCGTGATCATCAAGGAGAGTGTTGCCCTGACCCGCTTGTGGTCCAAAACGAGTGCCTCCGTCCGATCCACCCAGAGTGAGTTTTGTGCAAGAGTACGCCTGGAGCTTCAATTTTTTTTGGCGTAATTGGGCAAATGCCATTTGTCCCCGGACGTCTCACTTACGGCACGGCGGCACGGCGCCGAGGTGCAACGAGGAATGCGCCGCGGCCACGTCGCTGACGTCTTCGTCTTCCTCGACACCGGGCCGGGCCGGGCCGGGCGGGGCGGGGCGGGGCGGGGCGGGGCGAGGCGCCGCCCGGCGGGCGCACTGTCAGCCCGCACACGCCACACACGCCGTGTACATCTGCAGTCGTCTTTTACAATCTGCGGCAGTCTGTGTGTGTGTTGTGTGTGTGTGTATGTGTGTTTGTGTGTGCTGCAGGGCCGGCCGTGGCCACCAGGGCGACGTGGCCACGCGCAGGTGCGCGGCCCAAGGCGGCCCGAGGCGCGCGAGCGTCCGTCTCCGTCCGCTACACGCCGCGCTGCGGGCGAGCGAGCAGGACAGGTGGCGAAGGTGGATTTGGGTGGAAAAGGGGGGAGGGGGGGCTAAGGAGCCTGCCTGGCAGCAGCCCGGCATCAGACAAGGAAGGACCCTTTGGTCCCCCGCCCCGCCCCGCTCCGTCCGACACGCAAGAAGCCGGCCAGGAGCCGCGTGCACCTGCCGCCGCCACGCCCCGCCACGCCCCGCCACGCCCCGCCCGACCAACTAACCGCCCCGTTTGGTACAGATTGGGCTGGCTGGCTGTTTTGGAAGGGGGACGGGACGCGCCGGGCAGGTACCTCTACATATCATGGGATGGGACCTCGCCGTTCGCCACAGCACCTGCGCCAGGCCGAGGCAAGAGGAGTGGGGGCCGCTGGAGCCGCCAGATGCAGCAGCAAGACCCGGGACGACGGCGTCGTCGCGCTGCTCCGCACGCTGTGCGCGGCTTGTCTGCAGACTCTCTCCAGAAGGTAGAATTGGAGCTGTTTTTTTGCGGAGCGACGATTGTCTCCGACGCGGTGCTTTGATCAGGACGACAACGTGTCGACGCCGGCCTCGTTGAAATGCTGAGCGTCGTCGGCGGCCTCGCGGACGTGATGCCTGGCGTCAACGGCGGCCTCGTTCATAGACGCGATGCCGGACGTTGACGGCGTCCCCGAGGACGTGGGGTTGGGCCATGACGGCGTCCTCGTCGACGCGATGCCCGTTCGCCCGTTCGGCGGCCCCTCTGCGTGGCAGCTTGCCCGCCAGCCTGTGGACGCCATCGGACGCTGGCAGTGCCGACTGCAGATGACGCCTGCCAGCCTCCTCGCCGACAAGGATGACGATTTCAAAAAGAGGAGATAATTGGGCTCCTCGTCAAGCTCGCCGCCGAACGGCGTGAGCGAGAGAGACAGAGAGACGCCGCACGCCAGCCACGCTCCGCCACGCGAGGCACACATGTGTGGATGCAGGCTGCTGCTGTGGGGCCGGCGGGGCCAGAGGGGCCGGAGGGGCCAGAGGGGCCGGAGGGGCTCCCGCAGACCGTCTGTCGAACGCGTGGTGCTACCAAGCCAAGCAGCACAAGGCACAGACACAGGCACGGCCACATTCGGGGCACGACCCTTCCACTCATCCCATCTCATATACCCGCCTGGTTGTTGATACCCCCAGGCAGGCAGGCAGGCAGGCAGGGGGTAGGTCTGGTTGGCGTGCTGGCCGTGTTGCCCCCATGCATGAACCATGCCGGGCCCGACCCCACCAAGCATGCCGGACACGCGCCCCGTCCGAAAGAGAGAGAGAGAGTGCAGCGCGAGCGAAAGAGAAGAGGAGTCCTGGAGGGAAGGGGAGGGGGAAGGGGGTGCAGGCTGTGACGGGTGAGTTGCAGGCAGCACAGGACCCGCAGAGCAGTCGGAGCGGCGAAGCGGTATTTGCACATGCATATGCATACTGCATAAGTCATTGGAGGAGTATTGGGGAGGGGGGTGGAGTGGGGGCATCCAGAAAGGAAAGCAACGAACGTCCGTTTCCATCCCATTGAACACGTGGCTTTACGACCTTTGCGCGGCATGCTGGCAGAGCGCCGCTGGCGCTGCCGGCCTAGGGCGGAACATGCGCGGAACTAGAATAGGTGCACTCCGGTGCACTCCGTGTACGCCACACACAGTTCACTTGCTGGACGCACTACAGTGCCCCGCACGCGTCCCTTTCCATTATGTTGTTGGGGTAGTGCTTTCTGTTTCGATGGTTCTATTTTATTTTTTTCCGCCGGCCGGGCAGAGAGAGGGTTTACGGGCGAATTTGCATGAGGAAACACAACTTGTTGATGCAAAGCGGCAGAGCTGCGCTGCGCGTCGCTGCGCCGGCCTGCCGGCCAAAACAAGCGGTCGATGACGTGAAAGGCAGAAAAACCGACGGGCCGAGTGGGTCGCCCCGAATCATTCATGGCGAATACCGAAAGGGGGAATAATTTATTTAGAATATGGGACAGGGCAGTTGTCGGTAGTTGAGCCGGAACCCGCGGTTGCCGATGTCGGCCGGCGGCGCGGTCGGCAGCGCCGGCGCCACCGGCGGCGTCACCGGGCTGATCTCGGTGTTGTTGGTGTGCACGGCCAGCCAGTACGGCTTGGTGACGGCTGCGAACAGGAGAGGCCTCATCAGCACGGCCGCGCTTACGGGCCGAAAACGAGCAGGGCTTCTCTGTCTCCCTCGCACTCACGCGGCGTTCCGTACCGGTGCGAGAGAGAGAGACAGCCCACTTACTTACAGCTCGTGGTCACGAAGCCATTGCCGCAGAAGCGGTCGCTGTACGTGGTGGGGAGGAGCTGGTTCTGGATCGGGTTGGGGATCACCACGTAGTCGCCATCGCACGCAATGCCCGTCAACGCGGCGTTAGCGGTGCCTGTCAAGAAAGCCATGTTAATGACGTCACACTTGGGACAGTTCATTTGACCAGCGGCAGCCGGCGGCCCCACTCACCCAGGACGGTGGTGTCCAGGCCGTCCGTGTCGCTGGAGACGGTGAAGGAGTACGGGTCGTCGGTGGGCTGGCTCCACTCGATGCTGCAGTAGCCCGCCGCGGGCCGCACGCACACGTTGTAGTCCAGGTTGGCCATTTCCCGCGTGCCCGCCGGTGCTGCAAGTTTCAAAAGCCCGGTCAGAGTCCCCGCCCGCGGCCGTTTTGTTTCCGACGATTGTGTTGGCGGCTTTGCTCTGCCGGCCAAACGACCTACTCTGTCCCACCGCCGTGTTGGCGGTCATGCCGTAGTTGAAGCTGGAGACGGTGTTGGCCGCGTCCTGGTAGTACTGGAGGCAGCCGGCGGGGGCTGGTGGAACAACAGGGGGTACTGAGTGAAGGGGAAGAAAGAGGGAGTCCCAGGGCTGCTTCGCGCTGCTTCGCGCTCACCGTGGCTCGGGTTCGTCGCCTCGATCTGGGTGACGCGGATGTTCCAGGTGCGCGCGAAGCGCACCGCCGCGTCCGTGTCCACGGAGATGACGATCGAGTTGGTGCCCGCCGGGATGTCCACGTACACTGTGGGCAAAGTAGCGTCCCAACCGCTCGAAACACTTTCTCAGAAACGAGTGACAGCAATCAGCAGATGGCAGTGCTCACTGTGCTGGCCGATGTTGGCGCCGCAGATCCTGGGCAGCGGGAAGGAGCCCCCGGACACGGTGAGGAAGTCGTTTCGGCAGAAGCCGTTGGCGTCGGGCTGGGCCAGCGTCAGGTCCAGGAAGTCGAGTCGGAGCTGTCACGGCGTCACAATCAGTACACAAACAGGGTGAGGCGGGCACAACGCCTTCGGGAGTAATTAGACAGCCATCGCGAAGCGGCCCGGGGCGAGCCTGAGCCAGCGCCGCCGTGCCCGCCGCCCGCTACCTGCAGGCCGGGCGGGCAGGCCCGGCAGGCCGCGGGGGCAGCCAAGTTCGCGGGGAGAAAGTGGAAAGCTTCTCCGCGGCGAATTTGGCGTCGCTGCGCGCTGCGCCCCGCGCGATGCCCGCCCCCTCCCCAGGGCTTGGCCGCTCGGCGTCGTCGCCCGCCAACTTGAAGCCTCGCGGGGTTGATTGTCGCTCCGTTTGCGAAAGCATGCCACGCCGAAACTCCGCTTCGCCCGGCTCGGCTCCCAGCTACCCCTCCCCCTTTTCTTGTTCGACAGCTCGCGATGCAGAGTAGTGAGACTTCTCGCCGCGCTCCAGCGCCTCGGCCACGGCCTCGGCCGCGCGCCGCAGTCGATGGAATTATTATCGGGGCTATCGCCTTTTCAATCAGTTTGCCGACAAACTCAATCGGGGAGCCAGCGCGGGGCGCGGAACGCGCCGGCACACCTAACTCGACGCCGCTCCAGCTCCTCGCAACCACCCCATCGCCCTCCCGACCGAGCCCGACGTGAGCGCAGCGCGCAGCGCGGCAGCACGCCGCGGCCGGCTAGAACACGCCTACATCCTTACAAGCCGCGCCAGGCCGCGCGCTCAGCGCGAGTGGCCGTTGGGTTGCCTACCCGCCGGGCGCTCCCTGCTCGCTGCTAGCCGGCGGAACTCCAACGTAGCGGAAGAAGCGGCGGTGCGGTCGTTGGCCCGGCCAACAGCCAATCAGCACCTCGCAGTGGGTCAGAAGACCGGTGGTCTTCTGAACGCGTTTTGAGCTCCAGAGCCGCTAAATGGGACTCAAACCGAACGTGTGACCCTTCCAACGGATTGCTCTTTGAACGAGGAATCCATTGGTGGGGTCACACGTTCGGTTCGAGTCCTGTTTAGCGACTCTGGAGCTCAAAACGCGTTTGGAATTTTGGCCGCCTCCACCGGTCTTCTGGCCCACGGTGCAACCTTCCGCTCAGAGGCCTACCTGGTCCACGCCGGCGCACTTGGTGATGGAGACGGTGCAGCGGCCGCCGCCGGGGTAGGTGCCCGGGTAGCCCGGGTTGGTGAAGTACGTGAAGTTGGCGCTGCTGGTGGCGCCGCAAGTGGCCACGACTAGAACCAAGTGGGCAGTGTACTCTCACAAACAACTCGGCAAAAGCACAGAAACAAACCACAAGGCGTTGCGTTTTATATCTTCAGGATAAATTGATTTCGGAGCGAAAATTGCACGCCGAAAATGCACCGCTCCCTCCTGGAGGTGTGCGAGCATAACAGCGGCTGCGCTGGGGCAAATTTATACACTACGGACTCCAGCGGTCCGCCCCACCCAGGCCACCGCGGCCACCGCGGCCACCCAGTTAAGGGCGTCCCGGGGGACTCACTCACCGACGCAGCACACGCCCAGCCCGCGGGCGCAGTCCCCGGCAGGGACTCCCCCGGCGACGCCGGCACAGTTGCGGCGACTGGAGCAGGTTCCGTTGAGGTTGTTCTGCGTGACGCAGGCCGAGGGCGTCACGGCGCGGGGCGGCGGCCCGAACCCGAAGCCCAGCAGCGGGAAGACTGCGCAAAGACGGCGGAATCAGCGAGGGGGCTCCGCGTTCGAGTTCGCCGTCGAGCAGGTCGAGACTTACAGCGCTCGGTGCGGTCCGCGCTGCACAGGGCGACGAGGCCGAGCGCGCCGACGGCCAGGAGCACCAGCAGGTGGAGGCGGTTCATGGCGGGCGGGGCGGGTTCGAGGCGCTCGACACCAAGTCGCAGACTGACGGACTGACCGGTGGCGCCGTCGCGCTCCTCGTCGTCGTCGCTGCGCGGACCAGCGGGCCCGGCGCCGCTTTTGCCCGGCAGCCCCGCGACCCTCGCGACGCCGGCCGCCTGGTCACCCGCCCCGCCCCGCCCCGCCCCGCCCCGCCCCCGGCGACACGTCCGAAACGCGGCCGCGAGTCTGGGTCCCCGACGGTGCCCGACGGCCCCTGAATGGGCTGAAAGGAGAACGCCTCGGGAGAAGAGGCGAGGAAGCGAAGACCGAGCAGCGCGGACAATTAACAACTCTCCACACGCGGGCAGTACTGTTACCTAGTTGTGCCCAACTGGCACGCTGCCCCGTTCGCGCTTCACTCTCCTGGACGGCGGCGGCCCGGGACAGCAGCAGCATAGCCGGGGGCCTGCAGCCTGTTCGTCGCTTTTCGCGCAATGCGAGCATTCTCGAGAATCAGCCCGAGCGGCCGGGGCGAGGAATCCAGCGTTCCTCCCTTGGGCCTGCAGGGTCCCCTCCGGTGTGGGGACGGCGACGACGGGGAGAGCGGGGCTGGGCAGCGCAGTGACGCACGGCGGCACGGTACGCCACGCCGCCCACGCGGACCGACTAGTCACCATCGATGGTCAAGCTCCGGCCGTGCGTGTCTCGAGCTGCATTCCCAGTGACTACGCAAACGAAGCGCCACGGCGCGCCACGGGGTGCGGTCTGGTGTGTGCATTTTGGAGCAGCCAGCGCTTGCCTGCGCAGTACGCTAGCGGGGCTGTTTTGTATTCCTGCCGCAGAGGGCCGACCGGGCCGACGGCCGAGGACAGGACAAGGGGACTCTCCTCTCGCTTTAGAAAGGGTTGGGGACACGGCAGCGCGGCAGGACGGCACAGGCCCGCCCGGGAGAGAGAGAGGGGGGGGGGGAGAAAGAAAGAACCGAGAGAAAGGGAAATAAAAGAAGTGAAGAGAAAGGCGGGCCAGAAATGAATTTCAGCGTTTGCAGAGTACAAGGAGATCTCATGATAAATGTGTTTCAGCTTCAATTCACTTGAGAGCGGCATTAGCCAAGTTGAAAAAGTTGGTTCTATCATGCAGTTTCACCGCTACCGCGGCTATGGGGAACTTCGGGTGGGTGGTGGAAAGCAGTGACAAAGCAGAAGGTAAATCTAAATAAACTTTACTAAATGTCACAGAGAAAGGCATACAGCGGATACAACGTCAAACACACTCCTTATTTACAGGTCACTCGTAATAAAAACAAATAACATAATAATCAAATCGTTAGATCTTAAAAAGTGATTCTTAAAAGTAAAGGTCAGCAATTATTAATTATTTCAAATCACAAGATAGGAAAAATTTGCACTGTTCTGCTGGGATTTGAACCTCAACTAGTTTCCCGTTCCCTTGCACACCAGATAGAGTCAAACACGTCTGAGCCAGTGCCGGTAACAATCACGGGTTCAAATCCCAGCAGAAGCCAAGCCAATTAGTTCACTCCACGTCCCGGCAGTCGTGGCGATGTGCGCTACAGCTACCGGTTCCAGAACTCGAGCGTCTTCTGGAAGCCGGCGCTGTGCGCGCCCAGCTTGTTGGGGGCCAGCATGCGCCGCAGCGTGGGCGACTTTGGCGGCGAGTCCTGGCCGATGGCTGCAGTCTTCCTGCCCAGGCCCGTGTCCAGGGGCGCCTTCCGCGGGGACGGCGTCGTGGGGGACGCCGCGGGCGACAGCCTGGTTCGGCCGCCGCGCCGGGGGCCGTCTGGGCTGGAGGGGCTTTGGCTGGACGGGGCACCTGCTCTCCTGCTGGGGCTCAGGGCGTCTCTCCTGCTGGGGCTGGCGCTCAGGGTCAGGGTCAGGTCCTTCCTGACAGGACTCTTGCTGGGGGTCAGCCGGTCGTTCCTTCGAGTGGGGCTCAGCGCGTCCCTCCTGTTCGGGCTAAGGGCCTCTCTCCTGCTGGGGCTGACCGCCAAGTCCCTGCTCCTGTTGGGGCTGAGCGCCAGGTTCCTGCTCCTGCTGGGGCTGACTGCTAAGTCCTTGCTCCTGCTGGGGCTGAGCGCCAGGTCCCTACTCCTGTGGGGGCTAGGCGCCAAGTCCCTGCCCCTGCTGGGGCTCGGCGCTGGCACCCTCCGGCCAGGGCTCTGCGTCCTGCTGGGACTGCGCCAGGTGTCGCGAAGGCTGACGCGCACCGGGGGCTCCTTGACCGTCACGACCGCCTTGACCGCGGTGCCGGCGTGCAGCGACCCGGACGAGCTGCGGCTCTCCAGGGACTTGATCTTGGACTCGACGAAGCCCAGGCCCATGGCGGCCTTGGCGGCCTTGGTGGGCGAGCGCGGCGCCACGCCGTTGGCCGCCCTGCCCCTGCTCACGCCAACTGCCTTATGAGGGGAGTGGCCTGCAGCAGCGAGGCCGGCATCGCCCTTGCGCTCGGCCGCTGCGGCACCGGGGACTGCGGCGGCTGCGGCGGCAGCTGCTGTTGCTGCAGGAGAGAGACTTGGGTTAGAACCGAGGTGCTGCAGCAGCGCGGCAGACTTCCTGTGGACCGTGCTGGCGTCATGGATGGCGGGGAGGGTGGCGGTTACGGCACTCGACACACTGGGGTTAGCAAGCGGGGGCTTCGGCTCGGATGCGGCTAGCGGCAGGTGAGTGGGCCTGCTGGGTGCAGGCGCGGCGGGGACGGCCTCTAGGACCTGCTCGTCCACCTCCTCGGAGATGGAGAACTTCTTGCCGAGGAGCGCGGAGGGCGCGGGTAGCTGGCGCGAGGACGCCGACGAGCAGTCGCTGATGCCCGAGTCGCTGCGCTCGCTGCGAAGGCGTCCGCGCGGCAGCAAGGTGGCCGTCAGGGCCTCCTCCACGGCGGCGTCCTCCACGGCCGGCACGTCGGTGGCGGCCTCGGCGGGGTCCTCCTTGGGCGGCACCACGACGGGCTCCTCGTCCAGGCTGTCCTCCTTGCCCAGGAGGAGGACCGCGCGGGGCAGCACGGGGCTGGCGGGGCTGGCCGACACGCTGTGCCTCGGCGTGCTCATGCCGGAGCTGGCGGCGCTGGCGGCGGAGTTCCGGCGGCTGGCCGCGGACAGCGTGGCCATGCGGCCCAGCGCGCGAATCGCGTTGCCCGTTTTCTGTGTTAGCGGACAAACATACACAAACAAAGCCACGGGTTAGAGAGCAGAAGACAAACAGCGTGCGTCCGAACCGAAGCGAGGCGAGCCGCTCGACCGGACGCACGGGGAATAAGCGAGCACACGCACACACGGCAACGCGCACACACGGCAACGCGCGTAACTCTCCCGGCCTCAAACAGCGCTTCGGAAAAGCACAGCCGCCCGCCAGGAAATGCCCTTCTGGGCCCATTCCTCTAGCACGGCGAAGCCGCAGTTCGTTTCGTTTTCGCCTGGCGGTGTCTCTAACCGCTGTTACTCTCTGACATGCAGGTCTAAGTTTTACACAGGTCAACGAAACAATCATGCATATTAGGAAAATCAAACAGTAAACGACACACTGCTAGTTAACTTCTACGCAAATCGAGGCAAAGGGTGGATGAAGCGGTCATACCACGACGACAGGACGTGAACCTCCCACAGTCTGTTCGCTCAGAAATCCTTCAAATACATGATCAAATCTACCCAAATACTTTGTTTCCACGTTTCTAGAGTAATTTTTCAAAATCGGACCGCTGTCATTTACCTGCCACTTCCTGCGAATGATGAACTTCTTAAGCTTGTCGGTGCTGAGCGCGATGCAGCTCATGCTGGCGGGCTGCTGGGCCAGCCAGGGGTGCTCGAGGCACTGGCGCGCGGTCAGCCGCTTCCTGCCAAAACCAAAACCCTCGCATGAGCGACGACAACGCAATCCCCGAGAAGAATGAACGGAAAACAGAAAGAAAAACAAGGGGCGCTGTGTCTGCGTCGCCTGCGTCGCGAACAAAGGCGGCTGACAAGTACAATCGATAATTCGCCGGGACGACCAATCAGTAGTCCCCGGGCGGCATTGTTTTCTCAAGAGACTCCCCAACTCCAATTCCCTTCCCGCCCCGACTCACTCCTTGCGCTTGGCGAGCAGGGCGCTGATGAACTCCCGCGCGTCCTGCGAGATGGCGTCGAAGGCCTCGTCGTCGAAGTCGAAGTCGGCCCGCGTGATGTTGGCGAACGTCTCCGCGTCGTTGTCCCCCATGAAGGGCGAGAGCCCGGACAGGCTGCGCAAACAGAACCAGCAATCAGCGGAGAGCGAGAGGGAGGAGCGCCTGCCGGTGTAGGCAACCCATTCGACGCCAGCCGCCTGGCGAGGAGGGGTCCGCCGCGACAGGTAGGCAACCCACCCTACGCCGACGCGTGCGGACGGCCAAAAAGACCGCCCGGCGCACAGTGGGCGGAGGCGGACAAAATCGGACACGTTTTCAGCTCCAGTCGCTAAAAGGGACTCGAACTCGAACAGAACGCGTGACCCCACCAATGGATTGCTCTCCGAACGAGGAATCCATTGATGGGGTCACACGCTCGGTTCGAGTCCCTTTAGCGACTCAGGAACTCAAAACGCGTTTAGAGTTTTGCCCGCCGGCGCCGGTATTACGGCCCACTGTGCGCCAGGCGAGAGTGGAAACAGCGCCAAAACACAAACTCACAGCACGTAGCAGATGACGCCCACGCTCCACATGTCGGACTCGGTGCCGATGGGCTCGTAGTTGATGATCTCCGGCGGGATGAACTCGGGCGTGCCGAACAGCACGCGCACGGGCGTGTCCGGCCTCAGCTTCTGCGCCAGCCCGAAGTCGATGAGCTTGATCTGGTGCGACGTGCGCGTCTGGCACATGATGTTCTCCGGCTGGACCACACAACGCACCGAATCAGTTCCCTCGCCCTTCTCGCTCGGACTCCAAGTCGCCGGCTCGTCGGCTCACCTTGAGGTCGAGGTGCACCACCTGGTTCTGGTGCATGTAGTCGACGCCCTCGCAGATCTGGCGCATGAACAGGATGCAGTCGCGCTCCGTGAGGGTGAAGTCGTCCGCCACGACGCGCTCGAACAGCTCGCCGCCAGAGATGCTGGGAACAGGGCGGGCAAAATAAAGTGAGGGCGGAAAATAACGGTCTCGGCGCTCCTCTTTGACAACGGCGGCGCGCTGCGTGCACTAGGGCGGCAGGAAAGGGGTGGGGGCGGTAGACTGATCGGTAGGCTACGCAGCGCGCGCGCCTCTGTTTGATTCCACCCCGTCCAACCCGCCTCGCCCCGACCCGCCCCGCACGTGCAAATCGAAGAGGTAAAGGTAGAGGGCGACGCATCGCCCGCTCGGCATTTCGGATCGCCATTTCGCTCCCCTTTTCCCTGTCCTATTTTTATCTCCCAGGCCGCGCCGTGATATGGAAATATTCCAGTGCCCCACGCCGCCGGCCGCACCCGGCCGAGGGGAGCGCGACCCGCGGCCTGCTCGCGCGAAGCGGCGAAGCGCGGCTCCGAATCGCCGGAGTGTAATCGCAGCACGAAGCTTGGCGGGGCGCGGCGGCCCGGCCGGTCCCTGATGGGATGTGTCGAACGTGCCGCATCGGCGCACCGCACCGCACCGCGCCGCGCACGATAGACAAGAGGGCCGTGAGGCACTGCCACGTCTCCTATCATCGGCACGGCAGCGCCCCGCGGCGGCCGCGGCCCATCGGGCGTGCTGGCGCGCGGCTCCCTCAATGAATAGTCAATCACCAATCACAGCGCTTATCTGAAGCGCAGCCACGGGCGAGACAGACAGACAGACAATACTTACTACTCCATGACCATGATCATCTCCCGGGGGCCCTCGAAGGCGGCCTGCAGCTGCAGCAGCTTGGGGTGGCGCAGGAGGTTCATGATGGCCACCTCGTCGTGCACCTGCTGCCGGTCCTTGGCCTTGATGGTGCGGATCACCTTGGCGGCGAGCGCGTGGCCCGTGGCGCGCTCGGTGACGCGGTGCACCACGCCGTAGCGGCCCTTGCCCAGCTCCTCCAGCAGCTCGTAGCGCGCCGCGAAGCCCGCCTCCTTGCCGGCGTCCTTGCCGCCGTCCAGCGGCTCCACGGCCACCACGCGGGGCGCGAAGGGCGGCGGCGGCGGCTCATCCACGCACTCGGCTGGAAACAAGGAGAAGAGCGTCAAGCGGCCGCTTTCACCGTGAGAAGCCGCACGTGCGTGTGGCGGCGTGGCCGACGGTCCAGCCATCGATCCGGAACCCAATGGCACGGCAACGCACGGCAACGCACGCCCCCGCGCCATGCCTTATTCATGGCGATGCACGCCGCGGTGCACGCCGCATTGTGCAGCGCGCTGCATCCAAACAGTCTGTCTCTCTCGCACCCTGCGTCCCGCCCCACGCGTGCGAGCGAGACGGAGCGACGAAATCAGCCTGCAGTGTGGAGGGAAAATCTGGCGGCGGGACGGCGGCGGGATGGCCGGGAAAGGAGAGGCTTAAGACGCGCGTGACAGACTTGAGCCATTGCTTGGCCTTGCCTGGCACTCTGCAGACTGCCCCGCCGCCAGGCCGCCAGGCCGTCCGCGGCATGACTGCGACATGGCCAGACGGGCTGCGGCCCCGCACGCCGCACCGCGTCGCCACCGCGCACGCCAAGCAAGCCTCCTCGCCGCGAAGCCGCCAAACGAGATCACCGCCGCGGGCAGCAGGGATAGATACTCACTGAGCGCGGGCGTGCAGTACGCCAGCGAGGCGGCGCTGGGCTCGCTCAGGCCGTGGACGTTCTCGGCGCGGACCCGGAACACGTGGCGCCGGCCGGGCGCCAGGTCCCGCACCACCGCGGACAGCGAGTGGCACCTGCAAATCACACACAAAAAATATTAATTTCATGATAGGGGGATTCGAACCCACGGCACGGTGGTCAACAGGAAGGACGTGCCGGCCGAGGCGGTGCGGCGGCGTGCCTGGGCGTGTCCGAGAGACCGCCGCGCCGCCGCGCTATGACGTACAGGTGTGAATCAGGCGCGGGCCTGGGCCCCGGCGTGGCGTCCTCGTCAGCACACACGTGAAAGACCCGCCAAGTGCGGCTAGCTCATGAGATTTCAGTGATCTGCTTGATCCTTGAGCTGCTCTCCGCTATCGTCCCGAGTGCCGAGTGCGTCACCGGGAACGCGTCGCCGAGTCCCTGGCGCCAAAGTGGCGGGCGGTACCCACGGCAACCGCTACGTAGTCCCGAGAAACTGGCAGTCAGTTCCACGTTCGCGTCTCACTGCCTCCACGCACGACTGCACCGCCTTGCAACAGCTCGGCGCGTCGCGGTGCGTCGCGGTGCGTCTACCCGAGTAATGGCTTTCCGCGACAAGCCGCGACTTTGGCGGCCCTTCCACGCCAACCTCGCACTTTCGCGTGAATCACAGCGCGCCAGCGCAGTCCTTACCTCTCGGCCACCACCCTCCAGGCGGTCTCGCTCTCCGTCCGGCCCTCCACCACGTAACCGTCGACGCAGCGGCCGCCGTCGTAGGGCGGCGACGACCACGTGAGCACGGCGCAGAGGCCCCCCGAGGGGTCCGACACCGCCACGGGCCGGCCTGCGGGGGGGTCCGGGGGCCCTGGAAGCATAAGAATGACAAGTGAGTACTGCGCAGTGTGTTGCAGGACGCGGCGTGGTGCGGCACACAGCGGCACGACAGGGTCAAGGCACGGCGTGCCAGCCGAAGTCGGCCGGTCAGCCGCCGGGTGGAGCAGCGCGTCGTCTTGTTGGCAGATGCGCGGCTTCGGAACAGAACCCCGCCACCGGCAAGGTGACCCCTGGACGCCCTGGACGTCCTGTACGCCACCGCCGCCCCGAGGCTGGAGGACGGCCAACCCCTGCCAGCGATTAGCCGGCACGCATCTGCATGCATTACACAGCCGCAAAAAACAAAGCCTGGCGACGCGGCTTGTCCATGTCTGGAGGCAGCGCGCCGCGCGCAGCCAGACGGCCGTGCCGCGGCACGTGACATCCAGGCGCGCCGGGCACGGCATGTAGAAATCGCATTTCATTCATGTTTTTTTCCCAGCTCGTTCCATGATCTTTCCCGCTTTTTGCGCGCTGAAGGCGAGCAGACGACGCGTGCCATGAGTGGCGGGGCCACGCCGCGGGCTCACTTCGCTAACTGGAGCCGGCCGGCCACGCGGCCACGGCGGGCAAAGCGGCCACGACGCGACACGGCGGGACGGGGTTTGGGGGCCCGGCCTCAGGCACTCCTCGAAGCGCCGCAGCGCCGCGCACGGCAGGCATCATCAAGTCACGCCACACGCACACCTCCAGGCAGGCAGTCAAGCTGGCAGTCAAGCTGGCAGTCAAGCTGGCAGGCACCAACGATTGTTCCCACGTGACGCGATGAAAAGCCTCATTGTGATCTGATGCGCCGCGATCCGGTGGCCCCACTTTTGATAAAGTCTACTCAAAAACAAAAACCTAGAAAAAATTGGGGCCGTACGAAAATAAAGCAGAGGCGAATCCGCCAACGGTAGTCGGGTCAGTCACGTGTGTGTGTGTGTGTGTGTGTGTGACGGCGGGGGAATTCCCCGATTGCTCTGAATGCTGTTATCGTCCACGGCCACGGTTCGCGCGGTTCGCACGGCGGCCGGCAGGGGCCTCGACCGCCGCGTCAACCGGCGGCCGGCGAGAGGCCTTCTCGTCAAAGACGCTCGCAGTGCCGGAGGACGAATCAGTGGCCCTCATCACTTTTCACGGCATTCATTCCACGCCTTTCGGATTGGACTAGTCGCACCCATAGGGGTCACCTTCCACCGACGTTAAGCCGGAGTGGCACCGGCCGTGGCGTGTAGCTCAGTGGCTGTCATGTGGGAAAGGGAACTTTGGAAATGAAGGTCGTGCAAAAGCCAATCCGCGGCCTGGACGGGGACAGTCCCATTAATTTTTTCCAAGTTTAGTTCAAGAAATGTGGCGCTCGCTGCGTCGGTGCCGTGTCTGCTGCCGGTCGTTGCAGGTGCATATTCAAAGCCAAAGCCAAAGCACAGCGCCGGGGAATGGAATGGTGATGGCTCGGAGAGCAGCCCGCGGCCGCGGGGGAGCAGCGCGGCACGGGGCGGAGCGGAGCGGGCCGGAATGGCAGAATCACCCCCTGTCCGCGTGCCGCGCCACGCCGCGCCACGCCACGCCACGCCACGCCACGCGCTGCGCTTCGTGCTGCAGAAGCATGCAATTAGCCCCGGGAACGAGAATGGGGCTGACGGAGAAATTCCTGCGAGCAAAAGGCTTCATCAACGCATCGACCGGAGTCCGCGCTGCTGCAGTGCCTCTGCACCGTGCCTCTGCACCGGTACCACCGGACATCCGCGGCACGCCAGGCCATTCTTTATTGCCAAATAAAATCAAATAACGAAATACAATTTATTTTTTTGGCAAAAGGGTTTTGGTATTTCCGCGCTCTGCGCCGTGGTAACCGCTGTTCCTGCCTCCGGCTGTCTATCTGACTACCGCCTCGAGCTGGACTGCGCCTCCAAGTGCCAGCCGGACTGTCCGCGCTCTCGCGGCTCTCGCCATGAAGTCATCACGCCGTCCCCGCCCCTCGTCCTCGTCCTCGTCCTGGCCGAGAGAGTCAATTAGGCGATCGCGTACCGCGCGGCGCCGCGGCATGCTGCCGGCGACGAGACCACGCCGTCGACGCCGTCGACGCCGGCGCGGTTCGTCGCCGCGCCGCGGAACGGCGCTAGGACCGCAGGACTGCAGGACGACGGCAGTAACGATTAGAGCAAACGGCGTCTGGACGGCAACACTCCCCAGCGCCGCGGACGCAGTTTGAGAGAGACGCACACTGTGTACGACTCTGCGATTTGTTGTGGCCCGGCCGGCCGGCCGACTCACCGATGCGCTTCGCCACCTCCTCGTCGTGCACCATGTCTGCGGCAGGGCCGTCCCCGCTCTGCTTCTCGGGGGACAAGAAGATCTCCAAGTTGCTCCTGTAGCGGGTCAGCATCGTGGTCCCGGGGCTCACTGTCACTGGCACTCTGGTATTGCGCACTTTGGCCCGCACTGTACTTCACATGTCCGACCGCGGCAGAAAATCCACGCGACGCACAACACACACTGCAATTCTCTCTACGGCATCGTCGCCGGAAACGGCTGGGGATATCCGGGTGGCGGCGGCGTGGCGGCGTACTCGTTCGGCCCTGGCTTCTCGCTCTCTGTGTTCTCACTCGACAACACACACCGACCGGCCGGAGCGCGCGTGGACGGGCGACTGACTGCACAACACCAGCAGAAGAACTCGAGACTCGAGCCTACCGCCGGCCGCCGCCCCGCCGCTCCCCGCCCCGCCACGCCGGCTGCTAGCTGGCTGCTAGACGGCGTCCCGGCGGCGGCGCGGCGTCCCAGCGCGTCGTCGCGTCATAACGCTAACGTAAAGCTTTCTTTGTCGCCCGAGTTACTCCTCCCCGCATTAACATTCCTCCCCCGTCGACTCCGTGCCCGTCTGCCCGTCCCACAGCACACTGAATGCTTTCGTCGCCCTGTCTCTCTCGCACTCATGGGGCGCCCCGTCTAAGAGCGAGAGAGCCAGAGCGACGAGAACGACCCTCGGAATCAGCCTGCAGGGCCGCGTCCGGGGCGGCAGGGTCGCCGGGGGACAAGAGCGGGCGCCTCGCCTCGCACGCAGCCCGCCGTCCTCACTGCCCCGACCCAAGGCCCTTGGTAATCCTAGCCCCGCCCGCCGCGCCGCCGGGCCGCTGGGGCTCCGGCAGCGAGCAGAGAGAAGACGGGAATTGTGAGGAATAGTCGATGGTTGCAGGCGAGGCCGAGGCGAGGCTCTGGTGGGTCAGGACGGGGACGGGATGGCGGTCGCCATCGTCACCGTCATCGTCGTCGTCAACGGCAGCATCACGGCCAGATTAAAAGAAAACTTTGACAACAGGTGCGCGGAACGAAACGAGGCGCGGGGCTGGATGGCGGCAGGGAAGTACTTGGCGGGGCGGGGCGGGGCTGCAGCACGGGCACACTGTCACCGCGACGCGCCAGGCGACGTTCCACTCCGCCAAGCAGACCAAGCACACCTAGCAGGCCCGGGGCAGAGCGGGGCAGAGCGCACCTCATTATAATTCCCGCTCTCGACGGCGGGAATAACGAAATGGAAAGAAAATCCGCGCGTCGCGCTCATCTTCGCCCCCGCCCCGCCCCGCCCCGCCCCGCCGGGCCGACCCCTCGCTGTATCTGTCTGCTGGAAACGACTTGCGCCCTCCGCGCCACGCCCAGCCATTCCGAAGGGTCGTTTCGTCGCGCTGTCTCTCTCACTGACGCCGGTCACTCCGTGTCGGTGAGAGGAAGACAGAGCGACGAAAGCAGTGCTCGGTGCGCCGCCGCGCCGCTTCCAGGTACGGGGAGATAAGAAGGCCCGGCGCGCAGGCCCATGGCAGGCCGGACACGCTCCCCGTCCAGAAGAGCGTGAGGAAAGCGCAAACAAGGCGACGACGGCCCCGTTTCGGCCCTCGGGGGCGTGGAGGTTTGGCGGCACGGTTTGGGATGCGGCGCGGCGGGTATCGGAGCACGCGGCACAGAACACACCTAAACACACCTGGGGATCGGGGGATCGGGAGCGCGCGTGTCGCTGTGCGCTGAGCCCGCGCAGGCCGCGGTGTGGTGGCTCCGAACGAGGCACTGTCTCTCTCGTACTCATGAGGGCGGCGGGGGCGGCGTCCCGTGGGGGCGTACGGCCCGCAGGGGGTGCGAGAGGGACAGCGCGACGAGGCGCACTGCGCGGCGGGACGGTGCGGGCCGTGCGGGCCGCGGCCTCACCGGGCCTTATCACACCCGGAAAAGGCGGTGCGTACGAGATGCAGGGGAGGGAGGGGGGAGGGGGCCTCTATTCGCGAAGAGGCCGACAGACTTCCTGCCACACCCGGCCCCATTCGCGTCCACACACACAGACAGAGTTGTGCAAACTGCGCCGAGCAGGGGCGTCTCAAAGAGCGCGCTCCACCTGACTGCTCTGTGCGGAGCTCCCTTGTGGTGGCGCCCTGCGCGTCTGCCGCGGCGGTGAACGGGTCGGAATTCGACTTGCCTACTCGCTATCGACGGGTTGCATCCACACTGCTCGCTCCGCGCACGGCGTGGCACGGCGCGGCCGGAGAGCGGTTTGAATTCCTCGGCAGGTCGCGCTGTTCGTCTCACAATGGAGTGACGTAGGCAGGGGCGCAGTCTCGTCGACACGTCCTCGCGCTCGACACCCGGCTGGCACACCAGCAGACACTCCTTACAGCTTGTAGTGTGGCAGCACGCGCACACGGCTCGCTTTTGTAAGTCCTAAAGGAGCCAATTAATGCCGACGGTGGCTTTCCCCTCCGGCAAAAGCACGACGGCGACAAAGCGGCCGTCTGGAGGGCCGCGGCGCCGCGGCGTCAAGGCCGGCAATCGGGAGAGCAGCACTCGTCGCTGGAAGCGGCTGGAAAGCCCAACGCCCTGCATGGCCGACGCCGCGACTCCCAAACTTCAAACGGCTGCCAAAGGGAAAGTTTCCCTTTCATTCGGCGCAACTCCGTTTTGTTGGTTGTTCCAGGTCCCAGCTGCTCCCTTCCCGCTCGGCATGACGGTCACTTTGGCGCGCTGTAGCGGGACCGGGCCGGCCGCTCTGCTTCCCCGTACTCCAACGGCCGCGGATTTCTAAAAAGACAACTGCCAGCACCAAAATGACGTACGCGATGAAACCGACAGCCGCACTTTTTTCTGCCGCCCCTGACGTCAGCGTCGAGGCCCGGGCGCCACTCGAAAACTAGATCGGTGGCCGCGGGATGGAATGCCCAGTGTGACGTCACACCGTGGGCATGACGGGGCGGACGGGGCGGCCGGCAAGGAGGAGTCACCCTGCCGGGTGACACGACTTCTTGACATGACGCCACAGCCATTTCGCCCTCGCCCGCCGCGCTCAACAGATGCCTGGGGACCGCGGAACTACCAGTCCGCCAGCCGGTACTAGGTGTACGTGCTGGCGTGCTGGCTGAGCCACTGCCGCGCCACGCGGCGCCACACACGTCCCCGCCCCGCCACACCCACCAGTTGCCCGCGTATCGGTTCCGAAACCGCAGACTATGGACACAGATACAGTGCGGTGTCACTAAGAGCCGCTGGCCCTGCCGCTCGCCGCCGGCACGGCCGAAATTGGCCTCGCGGAGGCCTCGCGACGGCAGCCAAGCCGCGATCGCGACCGCGGAAGGCGGCGAGTGGCCACCTCGCGGGCGGGGCGACCTCCTGCCGCGCGTGGCGGCCGGGCGAGGCCGGTCGAAGACGCACCGCCACCGACGCTGCGAGGACCCCGTCGGACAATCGGCTGACCAGTCGCGGGGCCGCCACCTCCTGCCGATCATGGCACCTCGGTGGTCGCGACGAAAAGTAACAGTCTGCGACTTCGCGAAGCCCGGCCGTCGGACTGGCTACCTCCTAGCGCGCGTACCGGCCTGGTGGGCCGCGCTCGGTTTGGGCCTCTGTTGGTGAAGTCGCGACCGCCGCCATCGCGCTGCCGCTGCGCCTGCTGGCCGTGCTGGCGGTGCTGCGCGGCCGCGGCGCCCGGTAGCGCAGCGCTCGCTCGGAGCGCTTGGCGTCGCCCCCCGCCCCGCGGCCCGCGGCCGCAGCGCGGCAGAGTGGGAGGGAAGCGTTCGACCGGCTGATAGAGGCGGCCGGGCCACCTCCTCGCGCGGCTCACAGCCTGGTCAGCGCAGTGCCTGCAGAAACTTGCGCACGACGCGACTCGTGCAAATAGCACAGTCTCCGCAGGGCCACTGCGTCGAGCGGACTGCAAGCGGCTCTTGAATCGCCCACAGAATCGCGCGCGCTTTGCGGATCAGTGGGAAAGACGCCTCTAGTCAAAATCTACTGAACCTGGAATGTCCCTGTGAATCTTTGTAGAATTCTTTATGGTAATTCTGAATCCGCGTGGCGACGGCGCCTCCCTTCGCAGCGCTAGCCAATCAGCGGCGACCAGCACCGCACCGCCGGGGCCTCACCTGAACACACACGGTGTGCTCGTGGTGGCCCGTCACTAAGTCCACTGGGTCTGCCGCAAAGCCCGCTCGGCTCTTCGCGGGAGGCGGGGCTGTGACCCCGGTCGCCGGCCGCGCCCTCGGCGGTGGCGGTGCGGGGCAATTTTAGCGGCAACGGTCCGAGCACTCTGGCCGGGCTGCTCCGCGCCGGCGGCGCCTGGCGCCCGGCGTTCCGGAACATATTAGAGCGCGTTTGTGCTGCGAGTGGAGCCCGTGGAGCCGCGGGAATGCGAGAGGACGACCAGGGGCTGGAGGGAGAGGGAGGCACCCGTTCAAGGCGACTGGCCGTGCTGCCCTGCTGGCCCATCCCATCTCGGCGGGGCGGACGACGCGGCCATTACGTCTAGTCAGGGCTAAGTCCGCGCCCCGCACAGTATTACGATTATTGCCAGCAACAAGCCACCGACGCAGCACAGCCCTGCGAGGCACACACAACGCCGGCCGGTCTCTCTCGCACCCCCGCGGGACGCCCCATGAGCCTGCAGGGCCCGCTCACTATGAGGTGTTAGTGGCGTCGTCCTAACCACAAGGGGGCTTGCTTGGCGCGGCCTGGCGCAACCGGAGACCCCTCCCTCCCCCGCCGCGGGCCGCCCCGAAAGGCGGACGCCCGGATGGCGGTCAAGGCCGCGAGGCACGACGAGGCGAGGCACGACGAGGCGAGGCCCCGGGGCCAGGCAGTTGTGAACTTTCCCGACCGCCCAATCGGCCTGGCGTGGCGGCCCAATCCCTTCTTGACCCGGAACGACGCGGTGCTGTTCCCTGTCCGTCCGTCGCCCGGGTCGTCCGCGTGCATAACGCGTCGCGGCGGCCCGCCCGCGCGTTCACTCGTTCACGCCTTTACGCCCCTCCCCCGTTTATAACCAGCGATGCGTTTTAATTTATGTTCGCCACCGTCCCGCGTCCCGCGTCCCGGTGCCCTGCTTCGCCTGGGTCCGGAGCGATTGCCCCCGCCGCCCTTCGCCAGTCTGTGCGGTCCGCACCCCACACACGGCACACGCACGCACACTAGCGCGCTTCTTTATTGCCCCCCGTCCTCCCACGGCGCACGAGCGGCGCGCCCTTGTGTACAGTCTATTTTTTAATAAAACAAAATTGATGTTGTCGGAGAATGTGGGACTCCGTCCGCGCGGCGATCGCGGCGTGCGGTAATGGTGGCCGTTGGCGCCGCTGGCCGGTTGGCTGCTCGCCATAGGCTCGCCGCGCATCCCTGCCGAGAGTCGTTTTCGTCGCTCTGTCTCTCTCGCACTCATGGGGCGTCCCGCATCGGTGCGAGAGAGACAGAGCGACGGAATCAGAGTGCTGGCCGGCATCGCCACGCCGTTGGTCATCACGCCCGCCGTGCCGCGCCCGCTCGCTTCCTTCCCGGAAAATGGATCTTTACTCCCTTTTTAGTTCCGGCGGAACTGAACCGGGCACCGGACCGGTGGTCGGCCAGGTGGGTGGCACGCCGAAGGCACGCCGAAGGCGCGCCGCCCCGCTTCAGCACCTTCAGCACGGAGCCCCGCACGCACACGCGCGTGTGGCATGGCGCTCTCATGGCGCATCGCAACAAAAAAGTGCTTTAAAATGTGATAAATTATCACAAGGAAACATGTGGGAGTATGTTCCCCCGGTGCATTGCGTGTGGTTGCGTGCTTGAGGCGGCTACCGGCTACCGCTGCGGCGGCAGGACATCCTGGCAGTGACGTGGAGCGCCCCGCTGACGACGTCCCGGCCGTCCCGGGGTGTCCTGGTCCGAGGATGAGTCACGGAGACTGGCTTGCATCACTTGGCTTCGGGACCGCGCGGCGCCGACCCATCGGCGACCCATCGCCACGCGCGGCCGGCCTTGGCGATGACGTCACTAGGTCACTGCCGGTCACTGCCTTCTGCGATGACAAGCGTCGCGTTGTCGCCAGGCCCCACATGACGCCACACTACTCACCCTCCACGGCGACGGACGCGAAGTGGTGGTCGGCGCCGTAGACGTTCTCCACGCTGACGACGTACTTGCCGGCGTCGTCGGCGGACACGGGCTGCAGCGCGAGGCAGGACACGCCGGCCGCCGTCCTGATGGTGGTGCGGTCGTCGGCGGACAGCTCGCGGCCCTGGGGGAGACAGACGCTCGTTAAAAACCGCCGACGTGGCTGTGCAGGCTGTGCAGGCTGAGCAGGCGAAGGGGTGGCTTCTTTTAATTTGACTTCCAAACTCACCGCCCTGAGCCACCGCACGGCGGGCTCCGGCTCCCCGGCGTACAGGGCCGTGAGCTGCACCCGCTCGCCGCGGAGCGCGGTGGTGTCCGAGGGCCCTCGCAGCAGCACGGCGGGGCGCTCCAGGGGGCGTTCAGGGGCCCGGGAGCCGTTGACGCTGGCAGGGGTCCTGCAACCAGGTCATCGTCGCAGCGTGGAAACAACCCGACCGGCATTTACATACTGTAAGGCCGTAAGACGGTGAGGCATCCTAACTGTCCCTGACACGGCGCGCTTTCCAGCGCAGCCAGCGCTTCCAGCGGCCCTAAGCTGATGACTGCCGGGGGCTCAAGCGGGGCGGGGTGGGTGGGGTCATGAGCGCACCGAGCCCGTACGGGTGAGTAACTCCTAAACATTCATTCCCGCCACAGCAGCGCGCGCGGGCGCTTTTAGGTAAACTGATTTGTATGAGCAAACAAGCTAAATATATTCCGACAAAGGCTCGACCCGCGAGGCCGCGAGGCAGTCCGCGAGTCCGCGAGCCGACGCCGTGCAACATTTCAAGGGAAACGCGCGGGCAGTTCATGCGAGCTGACGTGGACGTTACACACGTTACTCGTTACGGGCGCCCGGCGAATGGAACAGACGGCCCGGAGGGGGGCCTCGACCAGGCTTCGCCGTCGGGTCGAAAGGCCTGCAAAGGCACGGCGGCACGGCGAATCGCCACAGAGTCGTTCGCCGGCGCCATCAAGAACCCCATCAAGAAGGAGAAAGGCCGACGCGCCGGCGTGGCGCAGTGGCCGCGCCGTGTCGCCGCCACCGCGCCGCCGCGGACGCGCGTTGGGTTGCCCGCCTCGCAGGCGGACTGGCCGCGTTCTCACCTGTCCAGGCTGGACGCGCGGGCGTCACGCGGCTCGTCGTTCAGCACGATCAGGTCCGCCGTGCACGAGAGGTCGAAGCACGCCGCGCCGCACGCCGCGCCGGGCCGGGCGCCGCACGCGTGCACGCGGCACTGCACGGCCCCGGCGTCCTCCGCGGCCACGCGCCGCACGTGCAGCAGCAGCTCGTCGCCGTCCTCGACCACCTGCGGGGCAGAAAGGCGCCGTTAGACCAACTTTGAAATTTGAAATTAGCTGTCCGCCGCGCTGTCCGCCGCGCTGTCCGCCGCGCTGTCCGCCGCGCAGTGTGGGCTGCCGGCCACTGTCCGCCAGCCACCCCCAACCCTCATTTGCAGGCGGCCCGGCGGCAGGACTGGAGTGTTGTCGTCGTGGAGGCTCCGGGCGTCTCCAGGCGTCTCGAGGCCCGCAGTGGTATGCATGTTCGCATACGCCGGCGGGGTGTTGCTCGTGTTGCGGGGCGCCGCGGGGCGGTGAGGGGTAGGGGTGGGCGTTAGCACGGTCGTAAACATTGGCGACGGCCCGGATGCCCGGATGGCTGCGGGACTCGGGTAACGACTCAACGACCGCACGGGCGCCGCAGCGGTGCCTCGGCCACCCCTATGGCGTATTCCGACGCCGCCAAAGTTTACCTGGTACTTGATGTTGTCCGGCGCGATGCTGCGACCAGCCACGCTCCAGGTGACCCTCCTCGGCCGGGACTGGGGGTCGCTCAGCCGGGCGCAGAAGGACGCCGACGAGCCCGGGGACGCCATCACGCCCAGGGGGGTCTTGGTCCAGGTGGCGGCGGTGGCGCCTCGGGGAGCACCGTCTGGGAAGCAGTAGTCAATAACGTGCTACACACACACACACACACACTCACGGCGGAACATTCCGATACAAAGTGTTGCAAGGGCCTTGCCGGGGCCCATGGCTGCCATGGCTGCCGTGGCCCATTCCTCACCAAAGTGCCCCAGGTTGCACCCATAAAGGCCATGAGGGCCCCTCACTTTGCAGCCAACGGCTTTTTTCCCCGTCGTGCAACGCATTACTTCCGACTCAACTGTATTGAAACACATAACCCGCGCGGGGCAACGGACTCCTTTTCAGTTTGTTCTCGCTCACCCAGGACGGTGACGGTGCCGTGCGAGCGCGCCTCGCCGTGCCCGTTGAACGCCTCGCACGAGTACGTGGCGGCGTCCTCGGGGAACATGTCCTGCATGCGGAGCGCGAAGCGGCCGTCGCCCAGGGACAGCTGCTTGAAGTCGCCGCAGTCCGGCAGCTCCACGCCGTTCTTGAGCCACACCACTTGGAAGGGGGCCGAGCCTGCGGGGCAGACGCGTCAAGGAGGCTGTTCGTTTCCAGTGGGGTGGTTCGGCCGTCGGCCTTTGGCGTGCCGCACTCACCTCGCAGCTCGACCTGCAGCTCCAGGGGCTTGCCCTCGGCGGCGTCCGTGTGCCGCGGGATGCCGCGCACGAAGACGGGCGGCCGGCGGTCCGCGTCGCTGGGGTCGCCCTTGTCCAGGACCAGGAGCTGCGCGGAGCAGCGCGTCTCGCCGGCGTCGTTGGCGGCCACGCACGTGTACACCCCCGCGTCCGCGGCGCGCACCTTGCGCAGCGCCAGGCGGCACACGCGCCCGTCCCACGACGGCGTGGCGCGGGACCCGCGCAGAACCAGCTCACCGTCCCTGAGGAGCACAACACGCATCAAACCCCCTGCAAAGCCCGCAAGCCTACCGACAGCAAAATAAATCCAGTCTCAGTTACCCAAGTCTGAATTTTAAGTCTGACTTTTTACCTGGGAATTCACTCAAACAACTACTAAATTTGTTCTCGAATCACCCGAAACTTGTTTGGGACTACCTTGTGCCGGAGCACATGCGTGCGGGATTGTGGGTGTGTCGGGCACCGCAAAACAGCAGCTTTAGATAGTAATTTCGAATTAATAACAGCGTTAAACCGTCCGATCGGTTCGCACCGCATCCCCCAGAGCGACGCGCCCACCCGCCTGCTGGTCACGCACACCGATTCGGGCCTCCATGGAGGCGGCTGGACGGCGGCCTTTTTAATCCCTGAAGGTCGGATTTTAATAGCGAGAGCATTTTTCTGCCCAGAGGCCTTTTTTTCCGGCGGAGAGCGTTGTCGGTCCTCGTCGACCGGGCACTTACTTGTACCAGTTGGTGACGGGGGAGGGCGAGCCGTCCAGGTCGCACGAGAGGGTCACCTCGCCGCCGACGCGGGAGACCTGGCTGGCGGGCCGGCGCCCGAAGGCCGGCGTCGTCCTGGCCGGGGAGGCGCTCCACGCCCGGAGCGACTGCGGCCGGGCTCCGCGGTGGCCTGCACGGTGGCGGACAGGAAGATCATTTTGTACGTTCATTCCTTGAGCTCGAGGCTTGCGCTGCGACAGCGGGTAGAGTCCTCACCGATGACCTCGAGGCGGGCGGTGGCCTCGACGCGGCCGTAGTCGTTCTCTACGACCACGCGGTACAGGCCGGCGTCCTCCAGGGTGGCCTGCCGCACCTCCAGGGTGCGCACGTCGTCGCGCTCCGTGATGGACATCCTGGCCGTGGGCGCGCAGGCCTGGCCGTCCTTGTCCCAGCGCGCCCAGGGCTGCGGGTGGCCCGCCACGGCACACTGGAAGCGCACCGTCTCGCCCAGCTCCGCCACGCGGTTGTGCGGCACGGCGTAGAAGCGTGGCGCCGAGGGCCGCGTGCGGCGGGGCCGGTCCAGGCCGGGGCATGTCGGCGCCACCTCGCGCAGACCGCCTCCTGGGGTGTGGGCATGCACCGGAAGTCAGGCGCACCCCCAAAAAATTACCACCAGTTCAAAAAAATCTCATTCAAAGAACGTTAATGAAAGCAGATGATCCATCGCGTTTCACAACTGCTGTGATAGCCGAGAGGTTAGAGACGTGGGATCGAGTTACCGCAGGCGGGCGTTCGAATACCAGCGTCACAAAAGTTTTTTCGACTTGCTGTCCTACGGGTGGTGGTTCGAGGCCATCCGAGCGGAGCCGTGTGCAACAGACCCACATGCCGGAGGTTCGACTCCTAACAAATATTTCCATTTAATTTTGCTGCCTCACCCAGTGCGGTTGAAACCCGTGAACGTGAGCCCGCTCCGTGCATGGGACGTGGTGGTCCAGGGAGTAGAGGCGTCGGTTCCCAATGCTAGGGTCGGCGGTTCGACTCCCCCAACTTCTTGCGAAATTTTGACCGGGTCGGTCGAGTCCTCTTGCGTCAAGAACCCACCTCACGCCAGCACCCTCATCATGGGCCGTGGTGGCCGAGAGCGTAAAGTTGTGTGATCCCGATGGCGGGGTCCGGGGATCGAATCCCATCATTTCATTACATTTTTCGACCGCCTTCCTCCCAGTGCAACTCAAACCCGTCGTCCAACACGCTGCCAGACGTACAAGCGTGATAGCGTAGTGGTCAGAGTCACATTCACCTGGCCACTCCGCTGTGGGTGTCTAAAAAGCAATCCGCTTCGGCGGCTTGGCCTCGGCACTGGAGCGATGGAGTATTTGATCCATCAATCCAGACCATCCGGTGTGTGGTTGCGGGTGGTGCCTCCTTGACTCGTCGGGGAGGCGATGATAAGTCCTTTGAAGCTGGCCTAAAACGCTGTATGTTCGGTACGGGAGCGCCGGACAGTGGGGGTACCATGGGGTACACAACCAACCCTACGAAAACAAGAAGCTCCCACCAAACCTCTTCTCTGTCTGAGTCTCTCTCTGTCTCTCTGTCGTCTCACTCTACGTCCCGCCCCTCAAAGAGCTTCGTACTGGGTGCTCTCACCCAGCTGCCTGAGCTTTGGGGTCCTACTGGGTCCCCCGGCGAACGCTTAGAGTCGCTGACGGGATTAACCCCAGGTACCTGATAGCACCGGTTCCCATCCCGAACACCGAAGTAAAGCAGGAGGCCTCCCCATTAAGACTGGGGAGGGGGTGTAGAGTTCAAATTTTTTTCTTTTCCCTTTCAAATTTCTCAGTCAATACTCGTTCGGTTTCCTTATACGGGGTAGTATGCGGGCTCATTCCAAAGATAGTAATTAAAATTGTGTATGAAACAAAATATATAGACCCGAACGAGGTGGCCGGTGTTGGTACTTTGGTGCCGTGCCGACTGCACCGCCCGCCGCCGAGCCAGAGCTGGCCCGAGTGCCCCGGGCCGGGCCGAATCGGGAGGCATTGTTGCGCGATATTCCGCGCCGTGGCAGGCGGGGAGGGATTGTCAATGTTGCGCGCAGGCCGTGGCAGGCCGTTCGAGCGGTTGCCTCCTCGGCGGGCTTAGGTTGGCAACCCTTTGACATTGCTGCCTAGTGGGAGAGCTGCAAGAAGCGACACGTACTCGGTATGTAGGGCGACGCACTCCGGGATGGCGTGGACCTGGGCGTGGACCTCGGCGTGGACCTCGGCGTGGAGCCGGCCGACCGCAGGTTGTTGGGTCGGTCCAGCTGCCCGGACACGAGGTTCTCCTTCTCCTCGGGGACTGCGCCGACAACAACAGCAGGCGGGTGAGCGGCTGGCATGAGCCTTAAGGGCCGCACGTAGAGGGACTCACCATCGACGACGAGGCAGGCGGCCGTCGTGGCCCTGCCCAGGCTGTTGAAGGCCACGCAGCTGTACTGGCCCTCGTCCTCGGCCACCACGCGCTGGATGCGCAGGCGCGCGCGCCCGCCCTCCAGCAGCTCCGCCTGGTAGTTGTCGTTGAGGCGCACCAACTGGGAGGCAGACGCCGGGGGTCAGCATGTCGTTGTTTTTGTTTTTGTTTTTCATGAGCAGTGGAGCCGCGCGGTGTCCGCCCTCCGGCCGGGATACGCCCTGGCCCCGCTCACCGCGACGCCGCGACGTCGGGACGCCCAAGGCGGCGCCTCACCTGGCGGCGGCGTGGCGGCGCGGCCTAACCATCTGCCCACCACCTCACTTCCATGTGCGCGGCCTGCCTTTGCCTGCGTCGCCTTCATTGTGGCCATAACACAGCATGGCCATAACAAGAGGATGCCTTGCCTATCGGGCCGGGCGTCGCGACGCCATGCAAAGTAGCAGGCGGAGCTGTCAGGCCACGTGGGCGGCACCGAGCCGCCGCGACCAGCGAGGCACTAAACACCTCGTTGGACTCGGCGCGTGATCGCGGCATGTCACGCCAATTCACAGTCAATCCATCAAAAGCCGGACGCTAATCTAGTTCCGTCTCACCTTGCCGTCTTTCTTCCAGTGGACGTCGGGCTCGGGCGAGGCGTCGACGCGGCACTCGAGCGTCACGGCGTCGCCGTCGCAGCAGCGGAGGTCCTGCAGGGGCTGCACCACGGAGGGGAGGGTCTCCTCCTTGCTGCGGAACAACAGGCGTCCTTATGCACCGCCATTGTGACGCGGAGAGGGGGGGGGGTGCAGCCACTTACCCGCGCTTCACTGTCCTCCGCTTGGAGTCGTCCCCCATGCCTTGACCTGGAACGGCGGAACCGGAGCACGAGTCAATAAAAACGGACAATAAAGTCAAATTCGATCGCTCATTCGACCCCGATCCACACACTGACGCTGTGAGGACCACGCGCAGCGATATTCGATCCTGGTGGACCTCTTGGCCGCCATGCCAGCCTGGGACAGCGCAACGATGCGAGGACCGCGGTCCGAACACACACTTCAAACACACAACTCGGCTCGTAGCGAGGACCGATCTTAGTCCACCTCTTGGTCCGCATGGCAGCCTGGTGGAAAATACAACGAAGCGAGGACCACACAGTCCGAACACACAACACAACGAAGCGAGGACCAAGTCCGAACACACAAACCGATCTTAGTCCACCTCTTGGTCCGCATGGCAGCCTGGTGGAAAATACAACGAAGCGAGGACCGCTGTCCGAACACACACCGCGACGGACCACACAGACCGCACCGATGTCATTTTGAACTTAGTCCACCTCTTGGTCCGCATGGCAGCCCGGTGGAAAACACACAGATCACACAGACGTAGCGAGGACCGCCGGCGGCGCGGTGGGAGGCCCGCGGCCGCACCTGCACGTCGGAAACACTCGCACGCAAAGCGCGCGGTGAGCTAGAGCCGCACATTCATTAGAACTCGCTGGGCCGGGCGCTGTCCAAATGTCTGTATGAATACTTGGCGCAATCAAACTCGCGTGTGGCTTGTCGCTTGTCTGCGAGCCGGGTCGACACGCTTCCAGTCGGACTGGGGTTTGAGAGTGGCGGACCGCGGACTAACTTGACCCGTGGCGATGCCGGGGCATGCCGGGGCCCAGGGGCAGGCGGCCAGGGCACCGCTGCTGATGCAACAAGTCCTCCCACAAACTTGTAATGGCCCTAACTTGGAGCGCATCAGCGACGACCGGCATGAAAAGGGGGAGGGCACCAGGCTTACGCACTCCCTGGATTCACCCTTTCGAGTTTTCATCCCTTGGCCTGCAAGTTTTCTTCATCCGCTCTTGGTGCTGCGCCCTGCTGGCCCTGCGAAGCGCTACTCGGTCCCCACTACGGTCCGTACTCACCCTTGGCGAAGACCTGCAGCGATATTATGGCTTTGGCGTCCCCATGCTCGTTCCTGGCCAGGATGGCGTAGGTGCCGGTGAAGTCCAGGCGCACCTGGGGGATCTCGAGGCGGTACTCCGGGCCGGACCCCACCCGCACGAACTGGGGCGAGTGGTGGTAGTAGTCAGGCTGGAATGGAACACAAACACTGCGTGAGGCTGCTTGTTTTTCGGATGGGTTTTAGCGAGTGGGTGCGGTGGCAGGGGGCGTGGCGAGGCGGTGGCAGTCGACTGGGTGTTGAGCACGCCGATTTGCGCTGCAATTGCTACCCGGCCGGACCTTCCTCCAGGCCCTCGTGCCGCGCCAGCCCTGCCTGGCCGCCCCGCCCCGCCCAGCCGCCCGGACCGCGCTGGCAGCCCGTCATGACCGTCCTTGCCATATACGTCGCAGCGTAATAACCTGCTGCCTGGGCCGGACTTGGGCCCCCGGCGCGCCCCTCTCTCAGTCCGCCAGGCCGCCCTCACCTGGCGGGGCTCCGGTCGGCGGGGCGGGGCGGGGCGGGGCGGGGCGGGGCGGGGCGGGGCGGGGCGGGGCGGGGCGGGCGGGGCGGGGCGGCCAGGCACACCCCTGCCCCGCGGCGCGCATTCGATGTCACTGGCCGTCAGCCCGCAGCGCGTCCCGAAGGACTCCCTCCCGACAGCCCCGGCGCCAGGGCACGCCAGGGCACGCCAGGCCAGAGGTGGAGGTAGAGGTCGTCTGGCGGCACTCCGCGGTACTCCACTCCACTCGCAGCGCAGGCCGGGCTAATCTCTTCATTGCTCGCAGCCAGTGGAGTGCCGGTACGGCGGTAATCCCTGCCGCATTGCCGGGCCGCGGCAGACTGATTCCGCGAGTCACCCCGTCTCTCTCGCACTCACGGGGCGTCCCGTGTGGGTGCGAGAGAGACGGACCGATGAAGATCTCTCTGGACAGGCACGCGCCTTGGATCAGCGCCGAGTAAACACCTGCTGCGTGCCGCCGATTGTCTCCTCTCTCTCTGCCTCCCTCGCACGCGCGGGGCGCCCCGTGTTCCGCCAAGGCGCGAGAGAGACAGAGCGACGAGGCCGCGCGCCGCGCCCTGGGTGTCCTCACGGTCCTCACGCCGCGCCGCGTGTCAGCCAGGACATCGCAACAACAATTGCCCGGCCACACGGGAAAGTAATGCGATTACCTCGCAAGGGGGGTCCGGTCCGCCCCGGTCCGCCGGAAGGTAATGCAGTTTGAATGGCAGTCACGCTGTGACGCTGTGACGGTCGGGATGTCGCCCGGGCCAAACAGAGCAGCCAACAGCCAGGCCAACGACCAGCCGCGTTCTTAAAAATCTAGGTTAGGGGACTTGGCCGTTCCTCCGGGTTAAGGTGGCGCGTAAAGCCCGAAAGTGCCTCCGGCGTAAAGCGAAATAGGGTCGCAAAATGGAGCGAATTAAACAGAGAGTCGATGAGGAAGCCCAAGTCACCCGGGCACTGTATAACGTCAAGCGCGACGCGTAAACCGGGGGCCTTCTCACAACTTGCGGTCTCTTCGGCAGCGATTTCGTCGCTCTGTCTCCCTCCCACTCGCGGGCGTGGCGGGCCGCTCCGCAGTGCTCCGCAGGGGTGCGAGAGAGACGCGGCGACAGTGGATGTCGCGCGGCGTTCCCACGCGCCGGCTGGTCTGGCGACGCCGCGACGCCGCGACGCCACGGCGTGTCCGCTTTGGGGTTGTTTACGTGAGGCTGTCGCTGCTGCCGCGCGTCCGCGCGCAGCCTGCCAGGCGTACCAACCCATGCGTCACAGCGCAGGCTGGCTCGGCCGCCTCAGGCCGCCTCAGGCCTGCCAACCAGAGCCCGGACCGTATGCGTCGCGGCTGGAGGTGGAGCATGCAGGGGGCCTCCATCACCTTCCCCGCAGTGCTGCCACCTGCGTGCGGCGCCATCAGGCTCCGCAGTGTCGGCAGCTGTGCGCGGCCTGGCCCGTTGGCCAGCCTGCGGCAGCAGCGACAGTCCAGCAGCGCGCCGAAATTTGGAGCCGCCAAATGCCGGCCGTGTTGGCGAGCGTGGCGCGGCCGCGCCGCCACCGTCGCGATTCCGAGCGAAGCAGGCGAAGCTGGCGAAGCACAGCAGCTGGTTTCTCTCCTTATAAAGCAGGTCTTGGTGCCGTCTGGTGGGGCCGGGCTGGCCGGGCGTGGAGCGGCACGCGGCACGGCGCGAGGCCGGCGGTGTGGCGCGGTGTGGCGCTGCCGAGTCGCGGCGGGCGGGCCCTGTGTGTGTGTGTGTGCGGGTCTGTGTGTGAGACGGCCGAGACGGCGCACTGGGCCCTTGCAGCAGCATGCAGCAGCAGCGGGTGCACGGCGGGCTCCACAGCGACTGCAGCCAGTGCCTCAATGCCATGCCGACTGCAGTCCCTGCCCTGCCGGCCCTGCCCGCCGTGCCTCCCTGCCCTGACGTTCCCGGAACACCGCCGGTCGCCGCGGCGTCGGGGAGTGGCGTGGCTGTGAGCGCGTCTGCTGGCCGGGCCAGTGGCCGGGTCCCCGACGTCCCCGACGAACGAGGGCAAAAAGACTGACGTCCTCAGCGTGGCCGGAATGTTTGGTTAATGAATGATGGACCGCCCTGCTGCAGGACCTGCTGGCGCTGCCCTTCGCAAAGCCTGGCACACTGGCATTGGGACTTGGGACTGGACGCAGCAGCAGCGGCCGGCGGACACAGACGCCGACTGGTGCTAGGCCAGCGGTTCCCAACCTTGGGGTCGCGACCCCAAATGGGGTCGCGAAAAAATTTCAAGGGGTCGCGGCGAGGTGGCTGGGGTCGCCTGGGGTCGCGGTGGTTTCCCGGCTGGCCCACACGCCGAGCACTGGCTGCTTAAATGCCGCAAAGTTGATCAAAACGGTCACAAATGTGTGTAAAAGATCGTGTTTTGGGTCGACTTTAAGCATCCAGTGCTTCTGATCCGAGGCGGTAAATCACCCTCCCTCAACGGGCAATTGGTCTTTGGACCTTCCTTTTGCATGCCTTTGTTACGGAGTGCAATTATCTGACTCAGTTTGGAAGCAGTACTGCCGCAAAGTTGGTCTAAACAGTCACAAATGTCTGTCAAAAATCGTGTTTTGGGCCGACTTTAAGCATCCACTGCGTCTGATCCGAGGCGGTAAATCATCATCCCTCAACGGGTAATTGGTCTTTAGACCTTCCTTTAGCATGCCTTTGTTACGGAGTGCGATTATCTGCCTTAGTTTGGGAGCAGTTTTGCCGCAAAGTTGATCAAAACGGTCACAAATGTATGAAAAATCGTGTTTTGATCAACTTTGTGGCAAAACTACTCCCAAACTAAGGCAGATAATCGCACTCCGTAACAAAGGCATGCTAAAGGAAGGTCTAAAGACCAATTGCCCGTTGACGGAGGACGATTTACCGCCTCGGATCAGACGCAGTAAATGCTTAAAGTCGGCCCAAAACACGATTTTTCAGACATTTGTGACCGTTTTGATCAACTTTGCGGCAATACTGCTCCCAAACTAAGGCAGATAATCGCACTCCGTAACAAAGGCATGCTAAAGGAGGGGTCGCGTGGGGTCGCGAAATTTTTCCTGGGGGTCGCGGAAAGTTTTGGCTACAAATTTGGGGTCGCGAACCGAAAAAGGTTGGGAACCGCTGTGCTAGGCTAGGCCCCTTCTCTCTCTCTCTCTCTCTCTCTCTCTCTCTCTCTCTCTCTCTCTCTCTCTCTCTCTCTCTCTCTGGCGCGGTCTCATAATTGGAGTGGGCGCTGCCGCTCCGCTCGCTGCCTCTGAGTGACAATGTCCGCGAGCGCCCCGACGTCGTGACCCCCGCGAGGCCGGCCATGCACGGCCATGCGGAGCCGCGTCGCTGCAGGCAAATATTTTGACGGGCGGCCTGCGAGTGGGTGGGTGGGTGGAGCCGATGCGCTCTGTCTCTCTCGCGCCCCCACTGGCATGGCGCGCGAGAGAGACGGAGGCCCTTCGGGATGGCCCCGCCATCCTGTCCGGCCGTCCGGCACCCACTCGGATCACGTCCCCGCTGTAAAACACGCGGCGCGCCATTAGCCGTTCATTAAACGGCCAGTAAATTGGCCGGCCGGCGATCGGACAGGCAGACAGGCAGACAGACAGACCGACAGACGTGCTTTCCATTCATTAAGTCCGCAGGGGGGCACAGCTAGTGATCCGCCATGTCTGCGAGCCGCGCGACCGAGGGCTGCCAAGGGCCTCGTCACTCTGTCTCTCTCGCACCCCCACGGGACGCCCCATGCGTGCGAGAGAGACAGAGATCAGTCTTCGGAATCAGCGGCCTGCTGGCAGAGTCATTGAAAGGCCCTGATTGCGGCGTTAAATCAAAGAAAGGGCCGCCGAGCCACAGCCACGCCCCGCCAGTGGGACAACAATGCGCGCGTTGCGACACGCCGGCATCATAGTCGCCGTCGTCGCCGTCCTGATGACGTGGCGGGGATCACACTGTGAGGGCTTTGTCTCTGACCGCGGGGAGTGGTGGAACTATTTGCCGCCGAGTCGTGGACAGTGTTTCGGGACACGCATGACGCTGCCGACCTTTATCGAGGCCGGTGTTACGTGATAAGTGCATGGCGGTCTAGGCAGACCTGGGCACATGCCTAGGCAGGCCTTGCGGGACACACCTGGCCTCACTGCTAATCCTCTTTCTCTCTCTCCCTCGCGGTGCGGCAATGCAAAACGGTGGAGTGGTTGTACAAAGCGGTCGATTCATCGATTCGTCGATTCACCGGTTCGTTCCGCCGCGTGCCTGCAGGGCGGCAGCCTCGGCGGTTATCAGCTCAGCGGGCGCGGAGTGCGCAGAGCGCCTGCAGAGGCCAGGGTAGGCAGTCCTGTTGCGCAGGGGTGCGTCGCAGTGCCTCGATTGCCTACCCGCCAGGCGCGCTGCCGCAGCACTTCGTTTCACGTTAGACTTGCCCGGCGGCCGAGCGACGTCGTCGCAGCGTCGCGCACAACTCGAAATTAGATTTTAATGACGCCAAGAATGCAAAAGAGTCTCTTGATTCCGTTAACGAGTTTCTTGCGCGCCGTTGCCGCGTCCCTGCGGGCCGTCGCCCTGTCTCTCTCGTACTCTCGGTGCGTTCCGCAAGGGTGCGACAGAGACAGAGCGGGGGGAGTTCGGACTCAGCCTGCAGCTCCACTCGTCGCCT